ATACCTATACATTATGTCAAATCGTGCATTTGAATCCATAAATCATTAACGAATACCTACATGGTCTTATGAAGTAAGAACAAACATATAAAATTTCAAAATATGGTGGCGATAAGAAACTATAAGATTCTATATGGACTATCTAACCCGATGAATTTATAAAGTTTTGCCACCGACTGTTTATTAAGTACATCAATAGTTCTCATAAGTCATACACCACATCATATCTGTAAGCATAATAATATAATATGCCTATTGTGTGACAATAATATTATTAAATTTACAAATTAACCTTTGTCCTTAAATATAATATTRTACAAAGTAAAACATAATATAATATATTATAAGAATTGTATTCTCATTAACATTAGGCCGAAAACGTATGGAAAATAATTTCAGTTCCATTTCCTCTAATAGAGGATAGTGAATAGGTAAAATAAAAAAATAGGTAGTCAAACTTTTCTCGTTGCCTAAATTAATCGCTATTGACTATAGTCACTATAAATTGAGACCAACGAATTTAATCGTGAGATAAACATAAATGAAATACAAGATTAGAATAATTGTTCCAAAGTATTTACATTTCAATACGTTAATAATAAAACATTTCCATTAGAATATTTTCGATTGTTTAGACTTTTAGAGTAAGGGCATTCGGCCAGCGAACCTTTTTTATCAGGCCTTTGAGCATTTTCTAATTACTTTCTGCAATTTCAACGTTTATCTGTATTTATATACTTAATATACGTTGTTTGTAGATARTAAATTGGCACAATAATCCTAYGGCACTAATGGCAGTTTAAAATGTTTAAATAGAACACCAAGTTGGTTCATTACTTTAATTATAATTATGCAAGCTGTAATCAAATCCATTTTTAAATACAAAAGAGATTGACGTAATGACTACGTGTAGTTTTGGAAAAAATTACCTGTTGAAAAATGTCGACTTCAATAATGCTTTGTTGATTTTCCCTTGTTGCATTAAAAATGTTATCTATGATCTGGCCCATTAGATTTTAAAGTTTTAAAAATTGGCCCTTTAGTAACTTTGAGTTCGCATCCCTGTTAGAGTTTAGTATTATAGTACACTCAATGACTATACTCGAAAATAATGCATCGGTAGAAACAAGAAAAAATATTTTCAATCACAAACTCTTATGTTGTAGACTAGGCACTTGTAATTAAAAAAATTAATGTCTGTCAATTCTAATAATATAGTCACTCCAGATGATTCTTTTGGAATAAAAAATACARAATGAATATTCAATTCGACATTATTTATTTAATGAAGGTACATTGCATAATACATACTTAATAATCGGATAAAATGTCAAGTAGGAACTTACTCCCTATATTAGCTTAAGTTAGTATCTGACTAATAATGTATTTTAAATTTGTCAAGGTAGGTATTACATAAGTCAGAGGTACATTAGTTATAAGCTGTACCAACGTATAATAATTTATTGAAATCAATTTCATTAGAATAGGCGTTATTGGAATATTGCATCTCGATATACATTCCTTTCTAAGTTTAACATATTATTTGATAATGCTTTTACTTTTTGTGTTCATTGAAGGGTTAATTTTTTTGCTACAATATTTAAACTAGTATAGTGCAGTATCTATAAGAACTAACTATCCAATTACCTAACTGGCAAACTACTAATGTAGTTAAATGTCAGCTATGTACCTATTATTATAATTGTACTGTATATGGTATATTATATACGTGATACGTCTCCTCGATGTCCATACACTAATCAATAATAATACAGGACTTAACTCTGACGAGTGTAGATACTTAAAAAAAGTACTAATTGTAAGTACTTCTAATTTATTCCAATACGTTT